ACGGCTTTGAGGTTGGTTGTGAACGTCTGCTTTCACAGCCTGTTTGTATGTCTACACTGGCAGTTTCTTGGTTACAACATAGCCTAGAATGACTCTCCTCCAGTAGGGCACATCTGGTTTCTCCTTATTGTGCATATTCTTTGGTTTTATGTTCACTGTTATCTCATAAGTTTGCGGTGACTTTAGAGACTGACCCCTGACTTAGAGAACTATATGAGCCAGATATGAACAGAACAAGAAAATGTTGGAGCCAGAGGAGCTTATTCATTCTGGGGTGGCCAGCTGGGCCCCACTGGGCAAAGGTCAATAGCCCTGCTTTGTTTGATTCACAAAGTTGAAACAAGTTAATTTGCATGCTAGTTTCTTAGTCAACCGAACTTGACCCTGTCAACACTGGAGTTTAGTCAAGGTCCCTGTTTATGGACAAAGAAACTGAGGTTTGAAAGAGAGACCCCCACTCCAGGTTATGAAGATTCAAATTGGCCATGAAAATGAGAGAGTGGCCGTGTGCCCTAGCAATTAGGAGAGCCACAGCTAGGGCAGGTGCCTGGGAGAGGCAGGACACCTCATCTGAGCCCTTCAGAGCCACTGAAGGTGTTCCAGGCCACTCCCCACTGAGGTCTCCAGGTGTTTGAAGGGAGGGAGAGGGATTAGCCCATTCTCTCTCACTTTCCTGGGGCCCTTTGTGGCCTTAACAGGGCTAAGTGCCTTGGTATTTTGGCTACAAAGATAGCAGCAATCCTAAAGAGCATGGCTGGAGGAGTGCAGGGCAGAGATGGAAAAGAAATCATTCTGAAAAGGGCTGAGGTGGAGAGGCATTGAACACGCACAGGAGAGATTGTTGTAAATAAACAGATTCAGACTCAAAGATTTTTCTCCTATTGGCCAAAGCCCTTTATCAGATATATGTTATAAAAATATTTTCTCTCATTCTGTAGCATGTCATTTAGCTTTTTAACAGTACATTTTAAAAGTTTTTAAATTTGAAGATGAATTTACCATTTTTTGTTTTTTTTGTGTGTCCTACAAAATCTAGCTCGATATTACACAGATTTTTATCCATATTTAATCTTTTTTAAAAAGATTTATTTTAGTCATTTCATAAGACAGAGTTACATAAAGGTAGAGACAGAGAGACAGGTCTCCATCCTCTGGTTCACTCCTCAAATGGCTACAATGGCCAGAGTTGAGCCTATGCGAAGCCAGGAGCCAGGAGCTTCTTCTGGTCTCCCACGTGGGTACAGGAGCCCAGGCACTTGGACCACCCTCTGTTGCTTTCCCCAGTGCATTAGCAGGGAGCGGGATCAGAAGTGGAGCAGCCGGAACTGGAACCAACGTCCATATGGGATGCTGGGGCTGCAGGCCGGGGCTTTAACTCACTGCACCACAGTGCTGGCCCCCATATTTAATCTTAAACTAACTGGTTTTTGGTTGAATCATCATGGTCTCAGATTCCTCTATTCTGGATCTATGACTCTCATAACTCCAAAGCCTTCACAGCTACCAAGCGCAATGGAAAAGCACGTCATTGTCGACTCAGGGCTGGGTATGTACCTCTTCCACTCTCTCATGTCTATATTGCATCTAACAAACACATCACAGACACAATCGCAGGGCCTCTGAGCCCAGGGTTTCTTCTCAGGCTTCTGTCCCAAGCTCCAGCAGGAGAGCACATCTCACCAGTAGACAAGAGCTTGCGTCTCAGCAGTCAAATAGCTGCTGACAGCTCTCGGGACTTTGATGGAGGACAATTACGCATTTCAGCACTTAGGGCAGGCCCCATTCCAAACTCTTGGGAAGCAACACCTACGTCAGTTTTTAGGGGCTTCTCCAGGCTCATTACAGACACCTGAATCTAAACTCCTGCAGTGGGGCCTCAGAACAGACTTTCCCTAGGAGGACCATGGGATGAGGACACGAGTCTGTGCAGTACCTAAGAGGACATGGCCCCAGGGGGCAGTGCGGCCTCAAATCCAGCCAGCGTTGGTGCTGCTAAGTGCACGGGGCTGTGTCTTCTCCTGAAAACAGAGGCATCCTTTGTTTCAATTTCTACGTGGGTTAGAGCAATCTTGTCTTCCTGGTGAAGCTAAGCAAACCCTTGGGCTCTAGAGGAGTCGCAGGTGGTACATCTTGCCTAAATTAGCCATCGCACTCCAGCTACCTGGCCACGGGGACTGCCTGGGCAATGGGCACATAAGCCAGAGAGGGCTAACCTGATGGCTGTTCTTTGACGACTGGGAACCTCTTTTCTCGCAGGAACTGTCAGAGCCATTCTGCAACTAAAAGGGCCTGGGAATGAAGACAAATTCCCAGCAAAGGGGACCAATAAAGGAGGGAGAGAAACAGCATCCTGGCGAATTTGTTGAGCCAGCAGTCAAGATAACCTGAAGCGCGAATCTGTGCTATAACGCAGACCAAGAAATGTCCTTTTATGCTGAGACAGTCTGCCAATCACACGTGACCAAAACATCACGCCTGCTGTTCCCTACGCACCTGCTCCTCATGCTCCTCTGCTATGCTCGCAGCTTCTCATACGACTCTCATTCAGCTGGTTTACGGCTTGTCTCCCTCCACCTCTCAGCTCTGCTGAAATGTGAGCCCAGAGGTGGCCAAGGCATTTTATCCCCTTGGTTCACACTGATGGATTCCCTGCCCTAACACAAATTCTCCACACTCAGCATATATTCAGTAGAGAGTTGCTGAATGGCTTACTTTCCCAGTGAATTATTACGGATTACTAAGATTTAAGGGGCCGGCGCTGTGGCTCACTTGGCTAATCCTCTGCCTGTGGTGCCGGAATCCCATATGGGCCCCGGGTTCTAGTCCTGGTTGCTCCTCTTTCAGTCCAGCTCTCTGCTGTGGCCTGGGAAGGCAGTGGAGGATGGCCCAAGTTCTTGGGGCCCTGCACCCGATGGGAGACCAGGAGGAAGCACCTGGCTCCTGGCTTTGGATTGGCGTAGCTCAGGCTGTAGCAGCCATTTGGGGAGTGAACCAATGGAAGGAAGACTTTTCTTTCTGTCTCTCCCTCTCACTGTCTGTAACTCTACCTGTCAAATAAATAAATAAATGATCTTTAAAAAAAAAGATTTAAGATGAATAAGTGAAAACCATCACACGGTCGTGGTCTTCCGTTGAGTAACTGCTTGTCCATGTTTGGCTATGTCGTGCAGCTCCTACTGTGTGCATGTACCTGCACGTTACTGGCATTTCAGAAACTTCAGGCAGGGCACTTTATTTCTATCTCATCACCAAGATTGTCTTAAGGCATGGTGCTTCTCCTCTGGGACTATTTTAATATGTTTTTTTTTTGTGTTTTTGTTTTTCCTGACACGCAGAGATGGACAGTGAGAGAGAGACAGAGAGAGAAAGGTCTTCCTTTGCCGTTGGTTCACCCTCCAATGGCCGCCGCTGCAGCCGGCGCACCGCGCTGATCCTGGCAGGAGCCAGGAGCCAGGTGCTTTTCCTGGTCTCCCATGGGGTGCAGGGCCCAAGCACCTGGGCCATCCTCCACTGCACTCCCTGGCCATAGCAGAGAGCTGGCCTGGAAGAGGGGCGACCGGGACAGAATCCGGCGCCCCAACCGGGACTAGAACCCGGTGTGCCGGCGCCGCAAGGTGGAGGATTAGCCTATTGAGCCACGGCGCCGGCTTATTTTAATATGTTTTTCAAATATGTTGATTGGACGGTTGCTAGATTTTACTGTTTTAGAGTATATCTGCTCTCTGGCACTTTGGGCTGTTTATTTTGTTCATCTCTGCTAGCAGGAGGTATTTTTCTCCTTGAAAGTGTAAATGAGTTAGCAAATGAAGGTGGTCCAAGGTGTCTTTTATCTGTCACGTGTACACAGTCAGAGAAAAGGGAGCGCTTCCACGTTTGGGGGCTAGTCTCGTCTGGGATTCCCTCGTGTTCGTTTAGTTCTAGTGCAGAATCGGCACTTTCTCCAGCAGGTCTCCCCACGGGTCCTGTCACCCAGTCTTCCCATGTGCCACTGTCTCTGTGGAATCTGGCCCTTCTATTAATCTCCGTGACAGGGGCTTGCCCAACCCTCTTAAGAGCTGACAGCTGCCTGCCGTCTCACTGGAGCTAATTAAACACTTTGAAAGAATGATCCTTTCCCCTGCCTCTCATCTGGTCTGAAATCTCACAGTAAGACATCTATCTTCTGGATTGGTAAAGTCTTTTAATGCTTGGGAGGAGCAACATGTTGGTCTGATGTTTTCCTCTTTGACAAGGGTGTGGGAGAAAGAGGAACAGGGAGTCATGGGGGGAGAGTGGTTGGGGCCCATGCCCCATCCATCCCATCCCTTCTTTCTTGGCCGTGCCCTTCTCTCAGCCACCACTCACCAGCTGCTCCTAGCGTGATGTGGTGACAGGGCACTGCTCTCAGATTACGGTGGAAGACAGTGAGTCCTGGCTGGCTGAGCAAGGCGGAGGAAGCAAGCAGCCACCTACGTGGTCTGAACAGTGCAGCCAAGCCACAGGCCTCTCGGCCTGGTGCTGCGCAGTGTGAACACGGCCATGCCAGAGGCACACTGTCTGGAACCATCGAGTCCACATGGTTTCTCCTTAAGTCGCCATGGAGATTCATGACCTAAGCGATCACATGCCTGAGAGCAAAATGACCTCCGACTGCCGGAACAACCACCCCCTTAAGAAACCCCAAACCTCACAGGCAAAGGGAAGGGAGCAAGACCACACAGGTCGTTCATGGCAGGGGAGAGATGACCCCTCAGGCCAAAACAACACCCACTGCACTGGCCTGGCTGTGACTGTCACCTCGGCCTCATTGCCGAATAACTGCCCCTCACTCAGCCCTGCTCCAAGGTTGGCAGGCCTCTGGCCTCCATCTCGTCTCTCCTCAAACCAAGGCTGTTGCTGGGGAGCTGGGGGCAGGGGGCAGGGGCCAGGAAGAAGGAGATGAAGAAACACTTGGGTGTTTGTAAATCTTATTTCACCTCTCCACTCCCATCACTACTGGACTGGAACTCAGCAACCTCCCATCTATACAGCTGTTTATTGAAAGAACGTATGGCCTGTATCAGCCTCCCAGGGACTTTCCTGGTGAGTGTGCCCACGGGAAAAGAGAAAATAAGCAGATGACTAAGGGGAGGACGTGGCAAATGAGAGGGCAGGAGGTTCAGAACCAGAGGACCAGATTCCCTCCTTCTATCTTCAAATTTTCAATCCCTGTGGCCAAAGACCCAGTTGGGGTCACCAGCTGGGGACACACACTCCTGGATCGCTTGAGGCAGCCAGAGAGAAGGGAGGAGAAAAAAGAGTAGGAGGGAAAGGGCTCGTGGCGCGGACATTTAGAGATAGAAGCCACTGCTGTCCCAGTGCTGTCTCTATGCCCAAGGAAGTCAGTGCAGCAGAGGCCTCCTCCATTTAGTTGCAAGGTTTACTCTCAGAGATACAGCAGTTTAGCCAGCGTGGCAGAGAAGGAAGAGGAGATGGGCCTGTGCCAGGGTTGGCAGAATCTTGATTCTTGCTCTAAGGTTGGTACTTGCACAGGAAGTGTTGGCGCAGGCTGCATTCATTGCTGCTCCAAGTTAAAAAGTCTGTAAGAAAACAGAGATTGAAATACATCCAGTTCTGTATTGAGCTTTCATGGTAACTTTTTTAACCTGTCAATCTGGTTAGGAGACGGTGTCCAGCTGTTCAGACAAAAACCAATTTAGATGATTCTGTGTATACATACATACACACACACACGCACACACACACATTTGAGAGGCACACATACACCTAGAGAGACAGGGACAGACAGAAAGAGAAAGGGCTCTCCACTCTTGGTTCATTACTCAGATGCCCACAACAGCTGGGACTGGGCTATCCTGCAGCCAGGAGCCAAGAATCCAATCCTGGTCTCCCACGTGGGTTGCAGGGACCCAAATACCTCAGCCATAACACACTGTCTCCCAGGGTGTGCATTAGCAGAAAGTTGGAATCAGGAGTGGAGCAGGACTTAAACCCAAGCACTGTAATTTGGGATGCAGACATCTCCATCAGAATCTTAACTGCTGGGCCCAGTGCCTTCCCTTGAAGGTTTTTGTTTGCTTGCTTAACATATGATTGATATTTATTTACATTGGTAGACTTTGAGTAAAGCAGATTATCCTTTATAATGTGAGTGAGCCATGTCTGACTGTTTTCCCAAGAGGCAGCAATTCTGCCCCTACAGCGTCTGGATTTAAGACTGAAACATTAACTCTTTCTGGAAATTTCCAGCCTGCTGGCCTGCCTTGCGAATCTGACTTGCCAGTCCCCATGACCGCGTGAGCCAGCACCTCACGTTTCTCCCACTTTCTTTCCTTCCACTTGATTTTGTCTGTCTCTGGAGAACCCTGGCATAGATGCAAAGCTCACTGAAAGAGCAGGATAATTTGTGTGTCCCACTCGATTGCAGAAGCCCCACTGAAGCTTCTGAGGGGCGGCAGGGCTTGTCCTGGACCCAGCGAGAACCAAGGGCTCTTGGGTGTGAACCAGGGCCATGGTGAGAGTGGTAAGGTCAACCGCTGAGATCCCAAGCAGCCGTGGTTGAAAGCTCAAAGAACGGCAAGCTACTGAAGCCAGGCGCATCACACCATTGCACGTGTGCCTAGAAGGACCAGGTGGGAAGCTGGCAGCCTACAGAGCGACGGACGTGTCCGATGACAGTCCTAGCGGATCCCTCCCAGAAACTACACTCGTCCTGGGCTGATGGCTCGTCATCCTGTCTGCAGCACAGTGGTGTTTCCCAGGGAGGTTTCTGCTCAGGCTTGGACCTGCTGGCCGGGTCCTGTCAGTGTGTTGTGTACATGGTGGAGGGTGGGGCGCCCTTCCCATTCCTAGTTCTCAGGAGGTTGCAGAGGACTGGGCCTGCCCCTGCCTGTGCACCTGAGACCTCACACTGGGGTCAGAGAGTAAAACTGAAATGAGGGCTGCAGGGGGCCGGCGCTGTGGCACAGTATGTTAATCCCCCACTTGTGGCACCGGCATCCCATACAGACGCCGGTTCGAGACCCAGCTGCTCCTCTTCTAATCTATCTCTCTGCTATGGACTGGGAAAGCAGTAGAAGATGGCCCAAGTGCTTGGGCCCCTGCACCCGCATGGGAGACCTGGAAGAAGCTCCTGGCTTTGGGGAGTAAACCAGAAGAAGGAAGATCTTTCTGTGTCTCCCTCTCACAGTCTGTAACTCTACCTCTCAAATAAATAAATAAAATCTTAAAAAGAAAGAAAGCAAGCAAGAAAGAAAGGAGGTCTGCACACTTTCTGTGCACTGTCACAGCATGGGGCAATGAGAACGTGGTGCAAGGCCACTGGCCAGCACCTGCTGCAACAGACGAGAGAGCTGGTCTGGGAACACATCGGCCATGGGACTGCTTGAGATTGGCACCCGCTGAGCCTATGTGTGAGTGGGACAGACAGCTGCTGGCAGCACAAGCAGCTCACCTGCAGGCACTCCCTGCTAAGGTATCTGTTTGCATTCTCCTCCTCTTCTTCCGCACCAGAGGGCACAGGGCAATGACACTGGCTCTGAGAGCATCCTCTCCACTCCAAAGCAGGGAGCCATGGGCCTAGCCCACCCCTGATGCCTACTCTTATTGCCCCCTCTTCATGGGGAGGCAGCGCAGGTGCAGAGAATAAGAGGTCTGCCCAGGATCGCACAGCTCAGTTAAGTGCGGTGCTGCAATTCTACCCTGGGTGTTCCGAAGGCAGAACCTGGGTCCTGACCACAAACTAGACTGAGTGTGAAATCTCTGTTACACTGCGCTATGAAATGCCTCCCAGTGAACAGGAGAGAAGCCACGAAGCACTGGGAGCTGCAATTTTCCAGCCACTGACAGTCACGTTGTGGTGCAGGGCAGAGCCAAAAGGGTGAGAGGAGGGCACAGGGTGTAAGACGCTCTGGAGTCCCTTCTAAATAGACAGGAAAAAAAAAAAAAAAAAAAAACAGTCCTGTCACAGAGGAAGAGTGCCTGGGTGGCTGCGTAAGGCATTAATATTATGCCTTTTTGAATTTTAAAGAAAATCTTCAGAGGCGAAATCCATTCTACAAATATAAAATGACATCGATGGGGTCGAGGGGAATTTTCCTTCCAGGTTCATATTCCACCAGCTTTTCTCGAATCCTTGCTTCATTCCTTAGCTTTTCTGACTCGACAGCCTGCACAGGCACTCTGATGGCTGCGAGCTGGATGATCCACCGCAGGCAAGGAAGGGAATCCAAAAGACGCGGTGTTCCCAAGAGCACATGATTCTCCTGCACCGGACGTGGGTTACTTCACTACTGCCCTCACTGACATCATCACGGATGCAGGCCAAGGGGGACTTTGTCCAGTGGGAAGGGCTTGAGAGGCGTCCGATCTCCCGCTTCCCCGAAGCTGGTCTGGCTGCCAGCCCCAGAGATGCAGGGTCTGAACTGAACGCCTGGGTTTAGGATCTTTAATCAGTTCCTCAGTTGGCCCTCGTGTGCCATTGTGGCTCTCTTCTACATTGCCTAGTGTTTCAACTACAATTAAAAGGACAAGGGCTGGCACTGTGGCGTAGCAGGTAAAGTTGCAGCCTGCAGTGCCAGCATCCCATATGGGCACCAGTTTGAGTCCCAGCTGCTCCACTTCCGATCCAGCTCTCTGCTGTGGCCTGGGAAAGCAGTAGAAGATGGCCCAAGTCCTTGGGCCCCTGCACCTGTGTGGGGAACATGAAAGAAGCTCTCTATTCCTGGCTTTGGATCTGCCCAGTCTGGCTGTTGTGGCCAATCTGAGACTGAACCAGCGAATGGAAGACCTCTCTCTTTCTCTTCCTCTCCTCTCTCTGTGTAACTCTGATTTTCAAATAAAAAAAATGTTTAATAAAAAAGGGGACAATGTAGACCTTTTGCTTGGGTAACTCTAGTGGTGACTTTCTCACTACTTCCTAGGGTGTCCCAGTCTGAGTCTGGACTAAGTGTTCACACTTCCTTCCTGTGGGTCCTGACGGTGCTCCTTCCATTTTTTGCTGACTTGGGCCTTTCAAAATGACATTTGCACCTGTGAAATCACTTTCTCCAATTTTTTTTAAAGTATTCATTTATTTTCATTTTATTTGAAATTCAAAGACACTGAGACAGAGAGACAGAGACAGAGATCTTCCATCTGCTGATTCATTCCCCCAAACACCTACAACAGCTGGAATGCGGCCAGGCCAAAGCCAGGAGCTGGGAATTCTATCTGGGTCTCCCAGAAGGGTAGCAGGGATCCAACTACATGAGCTGTCACCTCCTGCCTCCCCAGGTATGCATTAGCAGGAAGCTGCAATCAGAAGTGGAGCAGGGATCTGAACCCAAGTGCTCCGGTAAGGGATACGGGCAGCCCAAGCAGCATCTTAATCACTGTGCCAAATGTCTGCCACACTTCTCCAGCTTCTTCTTATCCCAGAGACTCCTCCTCAGAAGCTGCCTCCTTGTGTCTGCTGTTGCTTTTTGCTGTTAAAAACTTGGCTCCCTCTCCTTTGTTGTTCTTATGAGCTCTAACCCTCAAACAACAGAAAGCCCTGTTTGTGTCCTGCTGGGTGCAGCAGATCTCACTCCAGTCCCTGAGTCCCCAGACCTGGCAGTCCCAGCCCTCTTCTTAGTCAGGAAGGGAGTGCAAGTGTCACTATGACGGCCACCACGACCCACTGGGAGGTTCTCAAATGTGTGAACTTTGGGATCAGTATCCTTCCATGGTCTTGTTTTACAGTGAAATCTTCTACATCACTTAGCTGTGGTTGTTGGGGAGGGTGATTCTCCCTCCTCCCCTCACTTCCTAGGACATTTGACAAAGTCTGGAGAAATATCTGATTGTCAAAAGCCAGGGTGGGGAGCACTGGTATCTACAGTGGAAACCAAGGATGTTGCTAAACCTTCTACAATGTACAGAGCAACTCCTCACAAAGAATTATCCAGCTTGAAATGTCATTGGTACCCAGGTTGAACACTAACTGGCCTGAAAGAGGGCCAGGGAAAGGAGGGGGCTCAAATGACCATACGCAGCCTGCAGCTGAGGTTCTGGTCACCACATTCTGGGGGAAAACTCGGGGTAACAAGAGGAGGAACCAGACCAAGATTGCATTTCCAGAGCCCCTGAGGAACCTCAGTTTTAAAGAAATCATGAAGGAATAATCTGATTTCACTATACAGATTTACTCCCCATGGTCTGGGTCTCTCACTACGGGGCTGCCACTCCTTCATGATTTTAAAACAGATGTATTCAAGAAAGCAGTGGCTGGCGCCGCGGCTCACTAGGCTAATCCTCCGCCTAGCAGCGCCAGCACACAGGGTTCTAGTCCGGTCGGGGCGCCGGATTCTGTCCCGGTTGCCCCTCTTCCAGGCCAGCTCTCTGCTATGGCCCAAGTGCTTGGGCCCTGCACCCCATGGGAGACCAGGAGAAGCACCTGGCTTCTGCCTTTGGATCAGCACGGTGCACCAGCTGCAGCGGCCACTGGAGGGTGAAACAATGGCAAAAAAGGAAGACCTTTCTCTCTGTCTCTCTCTCACTGTCCACTCTGCCTGTCAAAAAAATAAATAAATAAATAAAAGAAAGCAGTGAGCGGACTGAGGGGAAATGTGGAGTCAACAATTGTTCAGCTAGAGCATCGATATGGCAAAAATCAAAGGTAGGCAAAGTCCTTGGCAAGGCCATTGTCCTGTGGAAGGAAAGAGCTGCTGGTTGACAGTGGGCAGGCAGGAAGGAAGGCACGGACATCCATTTTGCTGTTACTGGGACCAGGGAAAGAGCTGTGATTTGGGAAGGTAACAGGGGCAGTACTTGGGCACTTACTGTTTCTGTGGTTCACCTCAGCGCAGTGCTTGTTCCCACCCTGGGGCTGGCCAGCCCAGGATCCGTTCACGTAGGTGGTCCCATCAATCCACTGCCACTCCTGGTTCTGCAATGGAGGAGATGGGGAGATGTGCCATGGGCCTGCCCCCCTGCTCATAGCCAGGATGCTCTCCTCAGGGCCCTTGAAGGCAACAGTGTGCATTTCAAACCTTGGGAAAGCCCAGAAATGCACAGGAGGGAAAACAGAAAGTCACTCCATGCAACCACTAACAGGAAAACATTAGTGATATTTTAGCAGTTTGCTACTGGAGTAGAAATTTTTATGCATCACTACACTTGCAAGTATTAAGAAATGTTGTGGCCTTTAAAAACATACATTCAATGTTGTATCTTGCTTCCTAAATATGTTTTTAAATGTTAAGACTGTACCGTAATTCACCTTAATATTCTTCTGTTGACTGATAGGTATATTGTTTCTAATTTATGATTATTCTGAAGAATCCCTTTATTAAAAATTGTGTTAATAAAGTTGTTTTGGTATCTAAAACTTTTTTCTTATGCCAGATTCCCAGAGTTAGAATTGATGGGTCAAAGGGAATGCCTAGATGAAGTTATTGATAACACACAGCCAAAAGGCTTTACCAAAAGCAGTTCATTCACTTGCAGGAACATACAGCCATATCAACATGGCACAAGAACAACTTCTCTATACCCTTAAAAATGCAACTCACTAAGACAAAGCTTGATAATATAATAAGCAAATTATATTATTGTTTTAACTTCATGCCTTCGATTATTAGAGATAAGGCACAATTTTGGGAATATTTGCTTGCCACTTATGTTCCTCAGTCGTTACTATGGTCTGAATGGGTCTCCAACAATTCATATGTTGCAAAACTCATTCCTCAGCGCAGCAGTGTTGGAGGTGGTTGAGACACGGAGGCGGAACCTTGCAAAGGGGTGGAGACCTCACTTTGGGGACTGAGATAGCTTCAGTTTGGCCTCCTCCTCTCTGTCCACCCACACTTGTCCTTCCACTTTATGCCATGAGTTGCCGCAGGCCTAGGCCCTTCCCTGATACCACCACTCAAGTCTGGACTCCCCAGCTCCCAGAGCTGTGAGCCCTGTTTTCTTTATAAATCACCATTGTTTGTTGCTATAGCAACAATGGATGAAGACAGTCGTGAATGTAAATAATTAAACTGCAATAAATATCCTACAGAAATAGACATAAATATTTATCTTGTCTTTGAATGACAGGGTTGTGATCGATGACAATGTGAATATATAAAAATCTAAACTTCCTGACCTGCAAATAAATGCCATTTAAAGCTAAATGCATGGATGAAATATAACAACTATGGCAATGAATTACTAGCTTTTCTACAACATAATATTCAAGAGGAGAAAACACACAAAGATATTCACTAGTAAATACTAAAGGGTAAACACATATTCATAAAAGAGGATGTATGACTGCGTGGTGTCTTCAGCAGTTTTACCAAGAAGCCGAAAGGATGGGAGCTCTCTTCTTGCATTTGCTGCGTCCATTTAAACAAACTATAGGAGCTGCTCAAAGAACCTGCACACTGCAGGCCTCACAGAGACACCTCAGCACCAGGCATTCCTAACGAAGGCCTCCTGGACCATTCCTTACAGCACGATGCTGACGGAGAACAAGTGAGCAGTCAGTGCTGAAAACTAAGGATACCATAAAAAGTAGCAGACTGTAAGAAAAGGGATAGCTGAAAGTTTCCATTCAGCTAAACACCTACTGGGGATTTGAGTAATCTGAGTCTCATTACAGGTACACACAGACACACACAGAGACACACACACAGACACACACACAGAGACACAGACATAGACACACACACGTCTGTTTTTCATGCCGAAAAACTCGAGATCTATGCATATGTGAAATCTTCAAAAAATATTCATAGAAAATGCATATTAGAAAAACTACCAAGCCTGGATTTCAAAATTCTTTTGAATTAAAATTTACTTATTTTTGAATTCTATTTCCATGAACTCTTTGAAGCACTCTGGTATACAAACTGCTTTTTCTGGAAGACTCTCTGGAAAGTTGGTAATTTTCTGTTCTAACAGGAGGAACTGGATTAAACAGGAAATCTATAAAGTGGTGTCACTCAAACCATAACCTCCACTGCGGGCCAGGACTGGGCCCCTAACCTTGAGGCTTTGCCCTTGCCAGGTGGAGGTGCTTCATTGAAGATCCACACCTGTGTCCCTGGGAGGGGACAGAGCCAGTTCTCAGAAGGGTGCGCTTGAGGGGTACTCAAGAGTGGACTTGGTCAGATGTTACCTTCTGCAGGTCACGCAGGCCAATCCAGACGGGCTGGTTTCTTTGAAAGCCACGTATGTACTTGGCTATGACACTGGCCTCCTTTGCGTTCAGGATGGACACCAGATGGGTTCCATTTCCATAGGACTGGCACTCGAGCTGCACGCAAGCAGAGGTCCCGTTAATGATGACACCTCAAGGTTTCAATGCACAGCCCTTTCCTACAGCCCTGCTGTGCCAAGACAAACGGACCCAGGCAGATCCCATCTCTTTCAGCAGTTGGGATCCAAACCCCATATGGGACTTCCTGTCACCGTGGGAGAAGACACAACTGCCACAGTGTCAGGTCTCGGAGGGAGAAGCAGCTCAAGGCAAGAGCGAGAGATTTAGGGCCCTGAGGAAGCGCCTGGGGCCCTGGTCTCACCCCTCATTCGTGTGTGTGTGTGTGTGTGTGTGTGTGTGACTCTGGCATGCCACGCCAGCCCTCTGAGGCTCAGCTTCCCAATTACAGCCACAGAAACTCTATCTTTGCTTATCTATCTATGGATCAATATCTATCTATCATCTATCTATGTATCTATCAATAACTACCTATCTATCTACCTATCATCTATCTATTACCTAATTATCCAGGACTTAGAAAAAGCATTATGTTAGGCTAGCCTTCCCTGGATTTGCTCTGCTAGTCACTCTCTGGGCAATGTTGACAAAGGCACTTATGTTCATTCTGCACTGAGATTTTCTGTTTAAGCACCAACATCTTGCATTATCCTGTGTGTGTGTGTGTGTTTTTTAAGGCCAGAGACTACTTTTGAACCCTTGGGAGTTGTCTCATGGTAGATGGTATTTTTCCTGTTCTTCTTGTTATGGACAGGAATCCTGAGGCCGTTCTGGGCCCTGACCATGCTGCAGTGTTCCCATCGTCCCCCGCCCTCCCCTCCCATCGGTCACTCAGTCCAGCAGGCACAGGTCAGGGCCGTGCAGCACTGCCTCCCCACATCTGCTGGAGTAACTTAGGGTGTCTCAGACCGAGACTGTGAGACGCAATCGACAGATTCGTGGGTCCTGACGGCACTGAAACCTGCCCACGGTTTTCATGGCATCACTCTGACAGGGAGCCCTGGGTCCTCCGGCCCAAGCACGTCTGTAGCCCACTCTCTTACGGTAAATCGCGTACAGCAATTCAGTGATGCTTCCTGCACGTCCCTCGTCTTCTTTCATTTCCACATCTCTCTTTCCTGACCAAGAGCTGACTGAGGGCCAGAGGCATTTCCTACTCACCCTTCTGTCCACGCAGCCCATCTGGGCTCCAGGATGCAGCACCTGCTTCATTCTTAATCACAACGTTGAACAAGCCGAACACTCAACCTCTTCTCTCCCGTCCATCAGCCAGGCAGCTCCCCTCCCACTGCCCAGGAAGGAGCCTTGATTCTGAGTGACTCAAAGGCTACTGGAGCTCTGACTGGCCCTTAGTCCAGAGAAGCTGAGTGGCCACATTTCTTACCTCAGCATCAGACCAGCTCCTCAGCTTCCGGAAGTATCCATAGCAACTGGCTCTGTTGTAAAACCACCCTGAGGCACAGCTGGGTCTCAGGATGTTGCCTGCACACAACAGAAGGCAATTACAAGTGAGGCCGGCAGACACTGTAAACCCAGGCTTGGCAGTCTCCCGGTCCACAACCCTTTGAATGACTTCTTTCCTCCCCAACTTCGTGGTGTCCCGAGAGAGCCTTGAGGTCTGTGCTTGTCATCAGCAATGGGGGTGTTGGGGATGGATGAGGGCGGGTGCTGTCACTGCGCGTGGCCGTGGTGGTCCGGGAAGAAGCCCTTCAGGAAGGACCCTGGCAGATACATAGTTAAACGTTGACCTTGTTAATCCTTCTCCCTGCCTTCCCCAAAGAGATCGATGGCCTTTGACTGATGACAGTGTGTTGGAAACAAGAAATAATCAGAGCTTTCTGCGACTACCAGCCACTGACTGGGAACTGGTAGTAATTCCGTTGGACCTCCAAGGTCACAGGGCCCCACAGTCAGAGCAGGGGTTATGGAGGTCAGGTGGTCAACAGGTTGAGCTCTGATCTGTCTCACCTTGGGCCCAGTGGGCCCCTGAATCCACTCTGCAGTTATTCCTCAGTCCCAGGATGCATCACTGGCATAGACAGGCTCAGCAGTGGGCAGAATCCCACAATGGTGGTGGACATCAGACAGCTATGATTCAAGGTAGCACAAGAGTGGACAAGGTACATAAAGGGGGTCATTTTAAGCATAACTAGGAGAAAGAAGTCCTTTTGGTCTGGGGGACATGGGACAGGTTAGCTGACAACTTTGCTGGAATTTGAGCACAGTGGGCTATTTCTCAGTCATAAGGGGAGGGGGAACTTCAGGCAAAGGAGCTGGGCTGGGAGAGGAATGGAGGCGGGAATGTGCAAGGCATGCATAGAAATAGCAAGCACTGGGGTCCAGCCCTGTGGCTCAGCAGGTTAATGCCCTGGCCTGAAGCGTCTGCATCCCATATGGACACCAGTTCTAGTTCTGGCTGCTCCTCTTCCGGGCCAGCTCTTTGCTGTGGCCTGGGAAAGCAGTGGAAGATGACCCAAGTCCTTGGGCCCCTGCACCCATGTGGGAGACCAGGAAGAAGCTCCTGGATCCTGACTTCAGATTGGCACAGCTCTAGCCATTGCAACCATCTGGGGAGTGGGCCAGAGGATGGAAGACCTCTCTCTCTGCCTCTCCTTTTCTCTCTGCCTCTCCTTTTCTCTCTGTGTAACTCTGACTTTCAAGTAAATAATAAATAAATCTTAAAAATGAAATAGCAAGCACTGAAGTTTGCTTGAAGTACAGTGCGTGTATCCAGGAGAGGAACAGGAGACAGCCAGGGCCTAGATGCAAAGAAAGCTGTGGTTCTGGGAGGCTCAGAGTCCTCTTGCCAGTGGGACGGTGAATGGGCCACACCACTGAGTCTGAGGGTTAGGAAGAAGGGGAGATGGCTGGTTCGGAGGATGCAGGGGGCACCACACTCACTGGCTCCTGTGACAATGTGGCTGCCCCCAGACACCCTCGAGGGGCACAGGAGTCTTTCTTTTCACCGTGGCTCCCTACTCCAGTGCTTCCTCTCTCCTGACTTGGAGGACACTACTGTCGTGGACTGGCCCAACGCTTCCGCTGCATTCCATTCCTTGCCTAAAAATCTCCCAGGTGTCCTCTTGCTCTCTGGTAAGTCCCCTGCTCAGCAGCTGTTTGTAGCTTTCTTAAGCTGGTCCTCTGACTTACAGCACTATGTGCATTGTTGATTTAGGTATTATGCATGCACTGTACCGTGTATCTACAAAGGATGGACGGTGACTAACCCAGCCAAGGCGTGGCAGAAAGGCATTGATGAGTTCAGATATACTGAAGCCAGCACAATAATACTGATGTGACTATTTGGAAATCTGAGCATAACTGTATGTTAAGTAAGAAGAAAGCCTTTCTGTCATCATTGCTGTCACTGTCACCAGCTTCCACATATCAAGTGCCTACTTGGTGTCAGGCTAAGCCATGCATCCACGCTACATGTATTTTTATCCTAATGACAGAGGGATGTGGGAAAACAGTTGGTAAGGCGGCCACCTGCCCATGGTTACACAGCAAGAGAGAAAACCCACTTTTCAGAGTCAGTTCTCTCACTCAGGAATCTGTGTTCCTGCCACCAACCCTTCCAACCTTAGGTTGTTACAAATATGGAAAGATGAGCAATCAAAACTTAGCAACAGAAATAATTGGGGCCGGCGCCGCGGCTCACTAGGCTAATCCTCCGCCTAGCGGCGCCGGCACACCGGGTTCTAGTCCCGGTCGGGGCGCCGGATTCTGTCCCGGCTGCCCCTCTTCCAGGCCAGCCCTCTGCTGTGGCCCAGGAGTGCAGTGGAGGATGGCCCAGGTGCTTGGGCCCTGCACCGCATGGGAGACCAGGAAAAGCACCTGGCTCCTGGCTCCTGCCATCGGATCAGCACGGTGCGCCGGCCACATCGCGCTGGCCGCGGCAGCCATTGGAGGGTGAACCAACGGCAAAAAGGAAGACCTTTCTCTCTGTCTCTCTCTCTCACTGTCCACTCTGCCTGTCAAAAAAAAAAAAAAAAAGAAATAATTGGAAGGTGGGAAACCTCATCCACTCTGTCAGGAGGACAGAAAGCAGAGTCTTGGGGAGGGCATTTTGTCCTGTCGATAAAATGTACTTGGGCACTCACAGTCCACACTGGAGGGCCTGGGTTCAAGTCCTGGCTCCCCTCACATTCTGGCTTCCTGCTAAATACAACTCTCAGGAGTGACAAACACGGCTCGAGTAATTGGGTTCCTGCCATCCACGGGGGGCTCGGGTGTTGAGTTCCTGGCTCCCAGCTTCAGGGTCCCCGCCCCTGCCCCATTGGTTGCAGGCATTTGTTGAGTGAATCAGCAGAAGGGTGTTCTTCGTCTCACTCTCTTTTCCTCTCAAATAAAAAAAAAATCCTTGATTGTTTTTAATGTTTATTTTATTTATTTTTATCTACTTGAAAAGCAGAATGACAGAGAGAGAGGGAGATGGAGAGAGGGAGCGATGTCTTCACTCCACTGGATTGCTACTCAAATGCCAGCAACAGGCAGGGCTGGGGCAGGCTGAAGCCAGGAGCCCAGAACTCCATCAGGGTCTCCCACGTGGGTGGCAGGAACCCAAGTACTAGAGCCATCATTGCTTCCTCCCATGATCTCATTAGCAGGAAGCTGGATCAGAAGCAGACGAGACGGGATTTGAACCCTGCTCTGATACGGATGCCTGCATCCTACCTGACGGCTTAACCCGCTGCCTCACAAAACCTGCCCCAAGATCCTAGGCTCTTAGAGTAAAAATTGATCTTAAGGAGCGGGCTGATCACTGAGTACCACGCCCCACAGGCAGATCACGAAATGGGCTTGCAGGTCCGGAAGCGGCGGCCTGGAGACAGGAGGCGGCAGGCCTCGCGGTGGAGCGCGGGTGAGGAGAGTGAGGGAGGAGCCCTTGACCCGAAGCCCGAGCACGAAGCCCTAGCGACAGCCCGGTGCTTCCGGCACAGCTCCGCCGGCTTCCTCGGGAGCTCCAAAGGGTCCTTAGTGTCTCTGTCTCCTCTCTCCACTTGGTTTGTCTCTCTGTCTCTTTCTGGTTCCGGTTCCTGGTTGTCTCCGCCTTTGTGTGCCTCTCTTTACCCCGACTCTGTCTCTGTCTCCGCCTCTCATTCTGTCCTTGCTTCTCCATCTTTCCCCTCCATTAGCCCCTCTCCTTGCCCCGCTAGGAACGGGCGCCCCCTGGTGGAGACATTTTAGTTCTATAAGTGCAAAACCAGCGGCTGGTTTGTGGAAGCGCCGGCTGGGTGTCAGAGCCATCACTGAGCGTTTCCGGGGTGGTGCTACTCCAGGCAGCTTGCACAGGTTCTCGCCATCTCCAGGATAACCCTGTGAAAGATCTGCCAGTCTTATCTCCATGTTCCAAGAGAGGAAACGGAGGCACGAAAAGTGGTCATCTCCCAGGGGCCCACAGCCAGCAAGTGCAGGAGACAAGATTTGGCATCGGCAGGTCCAACTCGAACAGGAGTCCTGAGTGAGAAGTTTGTCACTATGCTCAGGCATTTAAACCTCTGAATGGGCCAGGCACAGTCATTCAGGCTACCTCATATAATTACCAGAACCTCACCAAGGGAGAGAGAGACAGAGGGGCATTGCCACCATACAGGGGGATGAGTGACCTGTTGGGGTCACCCAGATGGGATGAGAGCTGAGTGATGTCTCCTGGGCAGCCCTGGAGCCCACCCCCACCCCCCACGGTGCTGAGCTTCTCATCCCTGCACAGGTGGCATCAGGAGGTCCAGCTCCCAGCACCTCCTGTACTGCGCCAAGTCTTCCTATTTCACCTCTTCCTAGACATGTGACCTTCGGAACATTTTCTAACCATTTTAAGCTGTTGTTTTTCTAATGCATAATTGGACTAACGAGCGTGAGAGTGGAGGACCGGGGCTGCATCCGGACGGCGTCTGGTCAGACATTCAGCAATCTTCCTAGGATGGGTGGGAAGACTAGTTGGGGTAATTCATGTAGAGTGATCAGTCCAGAGCCCAGAATGTAGTAATGGTTTAATAACTAGTAACCAGCTAAAATTGTAGCTGTGAAAAAGATCCTCACCCCCATTACTATAACCAGCGTACTGCTCTGGAAGATATTAACTGGATCGAAGCAGGACGCTGCAGCGGCAGCGCTGGCACTGCATGCCAGGAAAAAAAAAAAAAAACATAAAAAGAAAATGTTAACTGGGTGGAGTTTCCATTGTCCATAAATGGCATTGCCCTCTGTCTCTCCAGGAACTGAGTCAACGACATGCCTCGCTTCGGGAGGAGGACGGTCACAGGACAGGGCAGAAAATCCCTCTGCAGGCACTCAGAGTTGTGATCTTGACCACCAGATGTTGTTCAGAGAGAAAAAAGAATACATCCCCCTGTACTTCCAGTAAGGGCAAGATTTGACTTTTTTCCCATAAGCCATAGCTTAGATCATGTAGGCTGTGTCCTAAGAGGTTCTCTTGAGAAAGTAAGATAAACAGAAAATTTCTCTGCAGCGGGGAGGAAGATCTGTCTGTTGTAGAACAATGGAAGCACCTGTGTTGAATATTGTGATATTGAATATTGTGATCCCACCTCCTTGGGGGAGAGAGAAACCAGAGGGTTGGTGTAATCCCAAAGTGAACTGATTTTTTATTCCCTGAGATATAGCTGGGGCAAATCTCAAGGTCTTTTAGGAAGCCTGAGGTCAGCCGAGTACCAGAACAAGGTCATCTCAGCACCAGAACAACAGGGAAGTAGTTGGCCACGTGGAAATGGCCACAGAGGTGGCTCGGTGGGAGGGGCTCCAGGGCAGCCTGCCAGCATGTCACACCCTCCTGAGTGGTTCAGAAGAGTGGCTGGGTTCCTTGCGCAGCCATCCATGGTCCAGAGAACTGCTGGCTGGAAATAGGTGTGGGGTTGAGGAAAGGGAGCCACGGGGAGCAAGGACAAGTCAAGGACAGACCATGACAAGGGCCACAGACTACAGCCACGTGAGTCAGCGCGATGCCCAAATAACCCCGCTTCTCCTAGTGTTTCTACCAAAAGACGCCCCCCTTCTCTGGCAGTAGTGCTGAGTGGTACACGCTGGATCCCACAGGAGGCTCTCTCCTCTTATCCTCAAGCATGGATTCTTCACTCACCCTTCACATACAACACCCAGCAGGGCCACAGCAGACTGTACAGGCACCCCAAACCAGCAGCCACCACATCTCTTAGTCCTGCTGTGTGACCTTGGGCAAGTACCTAGCCTTCTCTGGCCGCATTTGCCTCCTAAGTGGAACAAAGAAGTTCCACCAATGAGCCCATATCTTGCATCCTTCCTTTTTAGTTATTCCATGACACTGTTTCTTAGCACACTCATACAGCTTTCTTCCCCCTGCTTTCTTTTTTGAGCAATTATACAGTATTCTTTCCACTCGGCTCACTTGCCATGCTGTACTTGATGTTTGGTCTGTAGGTTGTAGGTCCCTTGCCAAATGAAATCCCTGGACACAGTGCATCAACATAGGGAGGTTCTCACCATGGTTACGACTCAGGACAGACTGCTAGGTGGCAGGTGCTTTAACACAGCATCTCTATACTGCACAATACACTTGCAAAATTAATCAAATTTACACTTAGTTGATGTTTTACCGTGGCTTGCAACCATATAGAGTTGGGTCTGTTTGAGTCTAGAGCCTTTGGGTTTTTTACAATACTATGCTGGTTTCCATTCTCGTCTTTAAAATCTATTTGCTGCCTAATTGGGGGGGGGGGGGGAAGCAGAGGGCTGTGTAGTGTGAAATGCGTGAACACTGACCTTGGGCTGGACCAGCTAAGTGACCAGTACTCACCGCCCACAACCTCAGTGCTGGCCGCACAGCTCAGCAGGAGGAGCAGCCACATGCTTCCGGAAGCCATCTTCCCCTTCCCCTGGGCACAGGCGAGCTTCGAACCCCTCTGCTGCAAGGATCCCAGAGCTGTGTTGACTTTCCTCTGCAACTCCTGGATTCCTGTAGATCTGCAAGCTGAGCACAGTTGCACTGGTGAGAAGGATCCGGGAATTTAAATGTCAAGTCGCCTATGGGAGAAGAGAGTATTTTTCTATATAAATACAGGTTTGGCAACAAAGGGAACTTCAAGATAAATGTAGAAATGAAGGAAGTTTAACTCGAGGTTTTCTCACCTGCAAGGCCTTGTAGACCAGAGCCAGAGACCTCACTGTAGCAGGAGGCCTCCTCTGAAAGATGGCAATTTGTGAGCTGTGACACCTCTGCTCCTGTTATTTTCAGAAATGCCAGCAGAGGGCATCCAAGGCAAGTTTTCGCAAAGTGAAGCAGCAACAGCTTTCTCAAGTCAAGAAAATCAGGTAAGTGCTTCCAACATGAGGTGTTTAAATGTTAAAAATGAACGTATGGTTCAATACCCCTGTTTTACACAGGCGAAACCCTGCGGTCGATGGACGTGAAGTCCTTTGCTCACTGTCCCCAGACACAGCCAGTCCAGCACTATGCTTTATACGTAGTTGACATCAGTTTTATTTTTTAAAGAAAATACTTTTTAAAAATCTCTTCTCCATTATCAAACAATACATGAATTATTAAAAGACCAGTGAAAAACCAGAAAAACAAGAAGCACATATCGTCTCCCAAAGATAAACAGTTTGTTGAATTAGCCTACAGAAATCGTCCATGAATGTGTGTGTATGTGTGTGTGTGTGTGGTTCATATCAGTGAGACCACGCAGTTCTGCAACCTTCCAGTTGGATTGCAGTGAATCGTCTTGCACCCACGCACCTTTCTGCAGCTTTGAGTTGCTCTTGTGTGGAAACTCACCTGTGCGGGCTGCAGCCTCACAAAACACGCACGGTGTCATTTGGACACTCAGTTACGGTGCCCTCAGAACTGGCCACACACCACACCACACTCCTAATGCCCAGCAAGGCTGGGTCCCCCTCCCCCTCCACAAGCAGCTCATTTTGTCCATTTCTTTTTTCCTGATTTTGTTATGCTAAAAATTTGTGGCTATTTTTAAATTACAAATGGAGTTGAACATCTTTTCATATAATAATTACCTTTTTGTATTTCTTCTGTGAATTTTCAATTTGCACCTTTGCACCTGTTTCTGCTTCATTGTTCTTTTCTTTTTTGGTGATTTGTGACAGCTTTTTTGCCTATTTATATCCTTCACATATTACCAATAGTATTTGCCAGCTTGTATTTTTTTCTTATAACATGTGTTTTGCTATTCTGAAATTTTCAAAAATTTATAGTATCGCATTTATAATTTCCCTTACACTTTTTGGACTCTATATCAGAAAGATTGTCTGTCCCTCTTGCATATTCCCATCTCTTCATCTATCTAGGCCTTATTTTAGTGTAAGCATGGGATTGGGTTCTAGATTTTCTCCCCAAATAATTATTAAAATGAGAAACTTGCTCAATTCTTATTTGACCCTGCTTTATGATGCCCAAATCAGGACACACGGTCTAAGTCCCAAGCAGTACTTGCAGGGTGCTTCCAGGGGAGGGTGGCATATGATAGTGGAGTGCAGGCTTTCCTGGAGCAGCTAATCTGGGGTTCATGCGCCCACAGAGGAGGGGACACAGGGTGAAGAGTGGAGCTCCCCCGCCCACCCCGACCCCCGGCTGCGGCACGTTCCTCCCGTAAGTAATGGCATATTTTCAATGTCCCAAGGCGCCTTTAAAATCAAACTCTTGGGGCTTCTCCATCAAGCTGATTGCCTGGGAGAAGGGAAGAACAGCATCTTTCTGATCCATCTAGAAATTAATTGCTGGTGTGCGCGGACTGCCTGCACGCCCTCGCATTGAACCAGCACAGCATAGCTCGGCCTGGGTCGTTACTGAAGCCTGCGGATGAAGAAGCGAGGCTCACTGGGATCAAACAACTTTCCCCGAGTTTCACAGCGCCTGGACCACAGGGCTGGGGTTTAGCCAACGCTGGCACCAAAGCCGCTGCACCTTCCAATGAAGGAGAAAGACATTAAGTAGTTCTCAAGCAACACAGCAACAGCAAGCGTGAGGAAGGGCATCCAGGCTGTGACAGGTCGTTTCTGGCCTGGATAACAGATTGCAGAGAAGAGGCATTGCGAGAAAACCCTGGGCCCCAGCTGCAGACGGGGTTACCTGGCACCGGCGAGCTCAGGGGACCCTGCCTTCCTCAGCGTCTGGAGTAGTCCCAGCCAGAGTTTCTAAAGCTTTTATATGTGCTTCCCCCGGAATTAATCACCTTTGTTTCAATCAGGGAGCAATAATGTTGTTTACGAATAATATTCCTTTCATAAAAGTCTTATCTGTAGACAAAAAAAAAATAGAGTGATGACTTGAGAACATACGTGAATGGTGCCCCGGGAGCCGGGATGAGGACCGCTCCCTGTGCGCAAACAGAATCTTTTCTTTATATCCCTGTCATCAACACTATCAACATCCTGTGATCTGTGATAAGACAGTCTTCTTCTCCCTTTATTTTTCTTTTTTGGGGATCTCCCTTTAAAATTTTTTTTTTTGACAGGCAGAGTTAGTGTGAGAGAGAGAGAGACAAAGGTCTTCCTTCCATTGGTTCACCCCCCAAATGGCTGCTATGGCGGCACTGTGCCGATCCGAAGCCAGGAGCCAGGTGCTTCCTCCTGGTCTCCCATGCGGGTGCAGGGCCCAAGCACTTGGGCCATCCTCCACTGCACTCCCGGGCCACAGCAGAGAGCTGGACTGGAAGAGGAGCAACCAGGACAGAATTCAGCGCCCCAACCAGGACTAGAACCCGGAGTACTGGTGCCTCAGGTGGAGGATTAGCCTAATGAGCTGCGGCGCTGGCGTAAAATTTTTCTTTTAATGTATTTATTTTCATTTCATTTGAAAGGCAGAAAAACAGAGACAGAGACATGGGCAAAGATCGTCCATCCATTGGTTCACTTCCCCCCAGATGCCTGTAACAACCATGGCTGGGCCAAGCCAAAGTCTGGAGCCTGGAACTTAATCTGGGTCTCCCACAGGGGTGGCAGGAACCCAAGTACTGAAGCCTGAATCTGTTGCCTCACAGCGTGTGCTGTGTAACGCAGCAAGCTGGACTCAGAAGTACAGCGGGGCTCCGGATCAGGCACCCCCAGCCCTGCACCAAATGCCTGCCCCTGGGGCCTCTTTTATCTCTGCATGCTGTTTTTTCTTTATTACTCCTCTTTTCTAGAAAGATGCCCAGTTCAAGAGCTGGCGCTGTGGCGCAGTGGGTTAAAGCCTGGCCTGAAGTGGCAGCATCCCATATGGGCTCCGCTTCTAGTCCCGGCTGCTCCACTTCCAATCCAGTTCTCTGCTATGGCCTGGGAAAGCAGCAGAAGATGGCTCAAGTCCTTGGGCCCCTGCACCTGCGTGGGAAACCTGGAGGAAGCTCCTGGCTCCTGGCTTTGGATCAGTGCAGCTCCAGCCGTTGCAGCCATCTGGGGAGTGAACCATGGGATGTAAGACCTCTCTCTCTCTCTCTCTGCCTCTCCTCTCTCTGTGTAACTCTGACTTTCAAATAAATAAATAAATAAATTTTTAAGAAAGGGTTTGCCACTGGGACCCGACATAGGTTATGACCCATGAGGTGTGACTTGAGACGCACACATGGACCTTCCTCCCTAAAGCACCAGAGCAAACTGTCCAGCTTGCATCGGAGTCCCCAGATTTCTGCCACTGAAGCTCCTCCCGTGGAACTAGGCACTGGAATCTTGTTCTGATGTGGGACAGTTATGTCCAAATAGCTTACTTTGGTGGAATATTCTACCAGATGTTTCCACTGAAGTCATCAAATGAAACAAATGAGATTGCTACCACAGAACCTGTGCCAGTGTTGAACTTCCTCGTTATACTCAGGGAACCTGTTGCTAAGAGAAATTAGGAAACAAAAGGCTCACGGTGCCTCCCCGCCCAAATCCGGCTCTGTTTGCTCAGGGAGAAATGGGCTATCTGTAGCAAACACTGCTATAACTCTATATGGACTTCCTCCCTTTACCTGGTTCGTCTTCCAGCGATGTTAAAACCTGGTCTTCGCCACCTCAAACAGCAGCTCCTCAAACTGATGTTTCACTGCTAAGGTTTTTCTGTGGGTGATGCTGGAATCCTATCATTTGCAATGTATATTTATCTACTTTTACAGTAAAATCTCATTAATTCCTCCTGGAATTTAAGATAACGGGATAAGCTAAAGGGTTTGCAGGAGCCAAATAATAGTAGTGTAAGGAAACCTGTTTGAACTGCATAAAGAGTCTGAAGGTTCTCTTTAAAAAGCAACCATTTACCATTCAAATGCCAGGTAGTAACTTCTCTTTTCAATTATATCACCTTTTTAAGAAATTTTTTAAAATATTTATTTATTTGAAAGAGTGACAGGGAAGGAGGGAGAAAGAGATCAACCATTCATCCACTGGTTCACTCCCAAAATGGCCGCAACAGCCAGGATGGGGCCAGGCTAAAACCAGAAGGCAGGAACTCCATCCGGGTCTCCCATAAGGGTGGCAGGGAATCAAGTCCTTGAGCCATCATCTGCTGCTTCTCAGGTGCATTGGAAGTGAAGCATCAGGGGCTCGAACCTGCATCCATACAGGATGTCAGCAGTGGGAGCAGCACCTTAACACGCTACATCACATTGCCAGTCCTCACACTTTACAATTCTTAGTTATTTAGATTTATTTTATTTATTTGAAAGAGGGACAGAGAGAGGAGAGACAGAGAGAAAGAAAGAGATCTTCCATCCACTGGTTCACCCCCCAAATGGCTGTAACAGCCCTGGTGGGGCCAGGTCAAAGCCAGGAGCCAGGAACTCTGTCCGAGTCTCCCATGTGGGTGCAGGGGCCCAAGCACTCGGGCCCTTCTCCACTACTTTCCCAGACCATTAGCAGAGAGCCGTATTGAAAGCAAACCAGACAGGACTCAAACTGGCACTTGGATATGGGATGCTGGCATCACAGTGATGGCCTAACTGGCTATACCACAATGCCAGCCCACACATTTTTTATATGCAAGCAGTTTTACTATTGACCCTTGAAATATATACCTCTGTGTTTTTATGGAAAATATGAATA